TGCACGGACAGATGGCACTTGACACAGCTGCCATATTCACTTCAGTTTCCAGTTACAACAATCTGGCTCCAGGTTAGCAAGTGCTTAGGTCACGCAACAAGTGACACAGCAGGTTCAAGACTGTAACCCACAATCATTCATACAATAGAAATCCACTTAACATCATAGGAAATATAGAAATAGGACAATGTATTAAAATAACACCCTTACCCCAAAATGATCATCTGTGTACCAAATTACTTTGTTTCTCACATTTTCTCTCACGTTGAAGGAAGAATCCAAAATCTCTTATAGAAAGGGGGCAGCGTTTAACAACAGAAAAACTGTTTCAAATCATCTGTTTACAAACCCTCACACACCTTGTTCATAACACATACATGTTTTGGTTACATTAGAAGTAGTGAGTATACAACTGGATAAATGATACTTTATTTTACTGTTGTGAACTATGATTTGAATAAGAGTTATTTTTGTTAAACACAACACATTCTTCAATTCATCCAGAATTGTCTCTGTTTTTTTATTTTAGGTAAACCGTGGAGGCAATTTAAAAAAAAATCAAGCTAAATGCTATTTTTCGTGAAGTATTTATTTAAGCCAGAGTTTGGATGTGTTCTATGTATGTCCACATGGTGGTGGTGTTTCTCGCAAGGGAGTGGAGAGGGCGAAGGTCCATCAGATCAAAGATTTAACTTAATTTAACATTTAACAACAGTCATGTAAATCGGAGTCAGCTCATGATATCTCCACCACTGTTACTGTGTGAAATACACAAGGTGCGCCAAGATGGAGAGACACAGTGTGAGAGTGAGTTGCCAAAGCCTGACCTTGGACCTAGAGCTGTCTGATGTTATGATGTGACCACAATGTGAATCAGTTTAAAGGTTTACGTTTAATTTAGGATACATTTTATCTAGGGCTACTCAGTATTAATGTTGAATTAAATTGGAATTTGTATTATTAATACAGTAGTCTGCATTTTTGAAAAGGAAATTACTAATTTGAAAGTTTAAAGACAGACAGCTGTGCTGAGAAATTATCAAAGTTGTCCAGGCATTTACCAGATCCACCCATTGAAATGTGTCATTGTTAGGTCAGACACTTTATTCAAAGGTAAACCAAATCTACATTTTGAATGAATTTAAATTGTATGGTAAATTATTTTAAGTATTGCTGAATTTCAAAATAAAATGCTGGAATGTTTTATTGAACTGTTGATTCTCCTGATAACATTTTGATGATGTTATAAAATGTGTGTTGTATGTTGTAGTTTTTTATGATTTAGTGAAACATTTTTAATAAGTTTAATATATCACACATCAGGCTAAAGTTACTTTTCAAATGGAGTGTAATACTGGTTGAAACTGTGTAAATGTGCAGCCTTTGTTACTTCCACAGTGTCAGTGGGATTTTCTCTTGTATAGATGATATCCTCATCAGAAGGCACAGTCAGATTTGTGATGTAGGTCAAACGAAAGTGGTTTCTATTACGTTTAGGGCTTTTACAGATTCCCACATCACCGAACTAACATGGTAGGAACCGGGGTGCCCTTCTGGCTGTCCCGGTCAGATTAAAAGAGTCGGGAGGGCTTTTTCTTTTCCAGCCTCGGCTTTGGAAGAGCCTGTTTGGTCAGAGAAGCTCACAGCATGCCTTCACTTCTTCAAATCACTTTATTTTTCTTCATTTGTAAAATAAGGTTGATTTGATTTCACTTTATTTTTATGTTGTATAGCATATTGTTTTGGCAATTGCATTGAGACATTTTTGCTTCTGTATGTGTGTGTGTTTTCATTGATGTTATGTGCATATGCAGTTAAATACTAAAAACAAGGATGAGTATTACATTTGTAAATATTTCATTATAAGCTTGCACACATGGAATGTTTATCTTATATACACTGCACAACCAATTAGGGAATTAATGTATGTGTTTATGTATAAACACATACAATATATTTCTGGCTTCTTTTCAAATGATCTACATTTTATTTTTAGAGCTAAATTATTTATCATTAGTTACTATTGGTAGGTTATTTTTATATTAAAGCTTATCAATGAGCAGTGGTGGAAGAAGTATTCGGCTCTTTTAACTAAGTCAAGTATAGCAAAACTGAGGAGTATAAATACTCTGCTAACGAAAAGGTCATGCATTTAAAATGAACTTGACTAAAAGGACAGGAGCTTTAACATATACTTAACCTACAAAAAGAAAAAGTACCCATTATGAGGAAAGTTCTATTTCACAACTTGGTTTTCATTATATAAGGCCAAAATATAATTATTAATGCAGTAATGTGTTCATTTTGTTGCAGTTTATACATATACAACCACAATTTTTTATATAATTTGTATTTTGTATTAGTATTTGGAATCTGCTAAAAATGTAGTAACTTATATAGATATTTAATTAAAGAGAATTATATTTGCGTCCCAAATGTAGTGAAAGTACACTATTCAAGTCGAGTACAAGTATACGTCACAGTTATTGCAGTACTTTAGGGGATACTGAGTTACAATCCAAAGCTAAAGGAGACATTACTAAAGTTTAGATGAAACAATTATAATGCATCCCTAATTCAACATAAAGCCATTTTTAGGAACCACAAATTTTTTGGAAGTCCATTCAACCCGCTGGCATTGTGAACAGGTTAGAGACGCCAGCCAGTTTTGGTGGAGAAAGTGTAAAATGTTTGCGATGTCATTCCTAACCGGATTATATCCTAATGAGCCTGTTGCATCCTAATTAGTCTAATCAGTGAACAGTTAATGGATCTAATCACCAAAAGGCCTCCAGGACAGAGAGAGGCCATTGTACAGTGGCACCAGGAACGTTTAGGCAAGAGACAGACATTTTAATTTGGGTCGCACACACGCGCACATACAGGGAGGGGGGGGGGGGGGGGCTCACTTCGACACACAGCCCTCAAAATACCCACACGTTCGTGCAGCGGAAGTTTTTAAGCAACCTTATCTAAAGCTTTATCTGAGTTGGAGATGTGCTGCAGAAAGACGGGTCAAAGGGGAGCTGTGGGCCGGGACGAAGCATTAGGGATATGAAACACATGCCAGACCTGTCATGTTCAATTTACAGTTGACTGGATGGTTTAGTTACAACTGAAGGTTCTGTGGTGGATGATACGGGCCTATCCCACGGGATTAATCGTTTTAAAGTCATGTCTTTTTGCAATTAAAGAAAGAAAACTGTGAGACTTTACGTCCAAAACCGCACAAAGCCAGCGGAAATCAATCATCAAGAAAACATGTTCCCTTGTGTCTCGTGCCCCCTCCTCCGTCCCCCTTGCGTTTACTTTATTTCGCCAATTATTACAGCAAGAGCCGGGCCAGTGTTGACTCTCACTGCGCCTGAGAGAGATTTTACGGCCATTCATCAGCTCTCGAGGCGCACAAATAGTCTTTAAAACTATAAACACCATCGCTGGGTCGGAGACAGGGGGACCCATTTACCCCGTGGCTGTGCTAAACGCTGAAGATAAAACAAACGATAATACTGTCTGTCTCCTGTGACCGTCTCCACAGGCATTAATAGCAGGTTTAGTGCCAATTGTGCAGGGGGAGACACATGGAGCTAATGCGTCATTACGCACTCCATTTGACTGCTGTCTGGCTGAATGATTTGTAATGTGTTGTTGTTAATCCTTACATGTGTGTATTCGACATTATTGTAGCAGATTCTAAAGGCACAATTATCGATTGTCTTTGGTTTAACACTATAAATCATTTTATGTGATGTTAACCTGCACAGTAACAGTTGCACAGTGTGAGACACGAAGTGTTTTCCAACATGTTGATTTTTAAGATGTGTAAATAAACGACACACGCCATATGTAGTCAAATATAGAAGTTGTTTGTCCCTATTTTCTTACAGAATAGCATATTGGTATTTAAAGGAATTGATCAAACAAATATCGATTTGGCTAAAAATAAAAGTTTAAAGGCAATGCAACGGGTATCTTTTTTTGTAACAACATGGGTGTCATATATGACACATATTTAGGATAGCCTGGCCTGCAGCGTGGGTGGGATTGTGTGTGTGTGTGTGTGTGTGTGTGTGTGTGTGTGTGTGTGTGTGTGTGTGTGTGTGTGTGTGTGTGTGTGTGTGTGTGTGTGTGTGTGCGTGTGTGTGTGTGTGTGTATGTGTGTGTGTGTGTGTGTGTGTGTGTGTGTGTGTGTGTGTGTGTGTGTGTGTGTGTGTGTGTGTGTGTGTGTGTGTGTGTGTGTGTGTGTGTATGTAGGTTTGTTGTCATCTGTTATCACGTCCTGATAGCGCAGACAGTGGCTCCAGAATCTCTCGGAGGCAGACAGCAGAGTGTGTCGCTGCTGGTCTCAGGTTCCTGTCCAGGGACCCAACCTGTTGTCTGCTCCGTTTCCCCTTGGATGAGGGACCGGGCCGACACCCCCAAACACATGCACGCGCACGATCAGACAACCTCACTTGTTATAATTCATCCATCATGGAACCTACATGATGCATGTTTGATTCCTCAGTCAGTCTTTATACACGTTTGATGTAGACGCAGTTAGATAAATCATTTCTCTTGGCACTTGAAGATGTGTGTAAACATCCGTCTAAAAGCTGACTGGGAATCGTGCGTAAAGACTACAACACTGAAAATAGCTTATGGATTGAACGAGACAGTTATTGAATTTCACATGATGTAAAAATATAGAAATGTATGAACGTTTTTCACCAAAGCTATCTTTGATTTAGGGAAACATTTATAACTAATATGCTAGGGAGAACAGTTGGGTTGGTGTTGCACAACTGCACATATACAACACTGTTGTATATGTGCAGTGATTGGACACATGTAGGCCTATAAGGAACATGCACCAGCCATCACTTTGTGTCATGAAATGGGAGTACCATTGTCTCCATACAGAGGGTCCCAGTGGCTCCCCCTCCCTCCTCCCCCCTGCGTCACTGAGAGGAGAAGAAGGCCAAGAAAAAAGTTTCGAGACAGAGTTGACATTCAAAATGCCCACTTCACTCAAGATCAGTCTGCTACACCAAACTAATACTTGAATCCAGTAAATATTACCAGGAAGGAGAGGGACTTTGTTGACGTTTTTTTTGTTACTTCCACATGACAGGTTAATAGTTTCTTTTTTCAGTTCTTGGCAATGTTTCCCTGCCCCAGCAGCACGTCCACTCCCTTCTCTGTAAAGGATATATTAAACTTGGAGCAGAGTCATGACGTTATGGTGTCTCCTCTGGACGTTACTTCTCGTATGGACTGCTGCAGCGTGCCGACCTCCTCCTCCTCCTCCTCTTCCTCCTCCTGCATGCTGGCCCGCCTGAAGAAGGAGCCTCTCCGGGACATGTCGTCCGCCATCTCGATGTTTGGAGAAGACCTGCAGGATCCCAGAGCCGGCAGAGGAAATGCACTCAACTTCGCTACTACCTTTTATGGGAAATCCCTCATGGAGATGGATTTGGTTAAGGATGGGAAATCAGACGCGTTTGAGGGGAAACGTAGAAAAGGTGAGATGAGGAAAGCAGAAACATTTTATTGTGCAGTCCTGTGCAAACATAGGCCCAATGAATTGTGTTGTTTGATTTATGCACAACGCACCATATATTAAAGAAAAAGTTCACAAAAGAAAAAGTCCTTCACTGCGGACACAGGCCTGGATTTTCTAACCGTAAAAAGTCGAGTTGGAATGAGCTTTTTCTTGTGGCCTGCTACATTTATTTAGGAGTTATATAATCCAAAAAAATCTCCTTTTTTTAAATGACTACCAAAAATTGCACTGGAAAATACAAGTTATTTATCTAAGTGTCCCATATATGTGTTCCACATCTATACATCGTGCGTATTTTTCCAAATCACACACTGAAATACACTCAAATAACTGAATTTCGTACTATTGCACAAGCTAATTAACCAAAAAAGGACAATATTATTATTATTATTATTATTATTATTTAAGTATAACCTAAGATACTGTAGTAAAAATAGCTCTAGGCCCAAATGGGTAAATAGATTTCCAACTCTCACTGTTCTATTCATTTTTAGCCATGGTTGTGTATTTCTGTTTTTTGTTGTTGTTGTTATTACTAATGTGTGCTTTTATTTTTTATGTGACTCTATCCACTATCCCAGATATGGGATTAATACAGGAATTCTGAATGTGATTGATTTGTGTTCATCCTTTTCTTTATGTGTTCAGAGGAGTTCAGCCCTCCTGTGGAAGACACAAAACCCGAGGATCCGAACCGAACCAAGTCCCGGAGACGCAGGAAGCCGCGCGTGCTCTTCTCCCAGGCGCAGGTGTACGAGCTGGAGCGGCGCTTCAAGCAGCAGAGGTACCTGTCCGCCCCGGAGAGAGACCACCTGGCCGGAGGGCTCAAACTCACCCCGACCCAGGTGAAGATCTGGTTCCAGAACAGGAGGTACAAGTGCAAGCGGCAGAGGCAGGACCAGAGCCTGGAGATGGTGTCGCTGCCGCCACCCAGGAGGGTGTCGGTGCCGGTGCTGGTGCGGGACGGGAAGCCCTGCCTGGCCGCAGACACAGGCTCCTACAACCCGTCCTACAGCCTGGGGCACATCAACCATTTCACGTATAACAACTACCCGGCTTTCAGTAACTATACCAGCCCCGGCTGCAACACAAACTATGCGTGTAACTATCCTGCAGCCACGATGCAAACTATGCAAGGGTCCTCCAACAACGGGAACTACATGAACTTCGGGGTGGGGGACCTGAATAACGTGCAGAACACATTCTCCTCCAGTAATGGGGTGTCTTCGTTACATGGCATTAGGACGTGGTAAACAGATCTGTGTTTCTGTTTCAGTTTAAATGGGTTGTTTTACGATTGCATGCATTTTTAAATGTGTAAAGACTTTCAGAGTGTCGTCTAACTTTTATTATATTAAATTACTTATTTCTGATAGTTTTTCGTTTGTGTTTTAAGCACTGAATAGCTTACATTTGTATTTATTTTCATGCCCTGTAAATCAAATTTCAAGATCTGACTGAGCGCACATGTGAAATTTGAGCCAAAAAAAGATGCAAGCAAAGTTCTTTAAATGTTTTTTTAGAACACCAATTTTCTTTCCCTTCCTTTTATTTTATTATTTGTATTGACTCCAATTGTATTATTCGATATTTGTACCTATAAAGATCAGATTCAGCGGGCAAGAATAAAAAATATAAAACCACTTAATTTATTATATAAGGCTATTATTGTACATTTAATTACTATTATTGTCTTTTATATTGCTTGAAATAAGCTAATTATGAAAATGAAATTGCAATAATTTGCTCTAATTTGGCTCTATATAAAATACATGATAAAGTATATAATATGTGAACTATGTCTGTGGGTCACATAATGGTTGCACTGGTTAACCAGCAGGATCCTAAAGTTTTTACAACCTTCATATGGTTTGTGTCTGGTTAACATGTTCAAGTGGCCATTAGGAAGCTTCTTTCAATGTTCTTAAACAAGGTTAAAAGGTTGTTCAGAGTTGACACTTTTTAATGCTCCCTGTCAGCCACCTACACGCATGTTTTAAGTCAGAGATGGCTGTCAGCCATGACCTTGAGCGGTACTAAATGTTTTTACATCAAGAGGAAATGCTGTTTTTAATTCTGTGGATATGCAAACTTTTAGATTTTTCTTTTATTATATTTACAAGACTTTTCTATACACTTTCTCAAAATGCCATTCTGAAAGTCAGCAACCTTTTTTCTCTGTACTTGTACATATGACAAATTCAAGATGTTACCTGATCCAAGATATTTATCTATTTTTGGACAGTTTACTTAATTATTAAATACTTCCTTTTTGAAATTATTTGGCTTAGTCATTACTGTTTATTTAGAGCTGGACTGAAGAAAGTCAAACATACTATATCTTAAACCATGTTTTCGATAATATAATGTTAAATTATGGTGCTTTGACAAAATATTTACATAATGAGATTTGTAATAATCATCAGTATAATAACACAGTCGGAAATCAGGTAGAACAGTGTGGTGAGTTCAGAAAATTACATCACTTGTGAAATATACCCTTTAAAATCAGTAACGACAATACTCATGTTACACTTTTGAGATCCAAAAGCTAAGACTTGTATCATGTTATCGATGAAAAACTGCTATTGCCTAGCACTATTTGAAAATTAAAGGTCTCAGACTGAAATATGACAATTAATGTATGCAACAGTCCGATACATTACACAGAAAGCTCCCTTTAGCCGTAGAAAGGACTTCATGAATTCAGAAGAGACTGTCTGGTTCCTGTGTTTACGCCATCAGTGTAGTGCCGTGTACGCTCCTCTGAGACCCCCGTCCACTTGTCCAGATACAAACCCAAACACTTGATTGACACTATCACGGTGCTAAATGTAAGAATAATCCAATTTGCTTGACAGAGAGCCAGAGCCCTTGTCTAAGTGTGCAGTTATAGGAACAGGCCGGCTCTGCCCCGCTGCCACTTTACACGAGTAAGAGACGCTTAGGCCTCTCTCAGCTCTCTCCACAAACACTCTGTTGTCTTCCCTCTCATTATGAACCCTCACAAACACACATTTGAGAAACATGTCAAACATCAAGTCAGAACACTTTTTATTTATTGATGATTAACACTGACCACATTGACATATATTAAACAGAAAAGGCAATGCCAGGCGACAGCAGACAGGGTAGCAAGGTCATGTAGCTCCTCTGGCCACCTTCTCCTCCGAGGTGTTGAAAAGGCAAAGTCAGATAACAGCACCACACAAAGCTAAAAATATCCCCCCTCACCCTCCACCCACACTGGAAAGGGAAACGGGTCGGAATAATCTGCTTTTCCGGGTCTTATCTGAAGAAAGGCAGGGATGCATGCTGCTCTATCTCTGCCAGGGTGATCACTGCCACGGCCTGAGCCGTTCTGCTGCGCTGCAGAGCAGAGCGGGGCTCAACCGGGCGGAGATGGAGGGGAGGGTGCACACTCTTTAAAAATGATATATTATTTTTTGTTTTCACGCTATGTGAAGAAAGCATATAGACAATTCGAAGAGCATTTATACAAGTGCAAGCGCCATTCTGATTAGCAAACGGATGGACAGCGAAGCTAAAAGCCATTTCAACACTACACTAACTAAATATAGAACTCAGTCATTGTTGTGCTGTAATAAATTAAAACTCACTTAAGTATACAGTACATCCTAATAAATAACAATAACAGTGAATGTTGCCATCATTTGCAAAGTATCTGAATAATCTAAACAAGTTTGATTGAAACATCAGCGAGGATATGTGAATGTGCCACTTTTTTGTTCATACTTATATTCAATACCAGACAATATAAATCCTTGACATTGTGATATGTAATGCTACTATAGATTTATAGTATTTGAAAGTATTGCACACTACTATAAACACTCTTAAATGACATGTATGCCAATCAAAGCTTGTTGAACTGAAATGAATGGTGGAACTTTTTTGTGATTATTAGATATTACCAGGGTTTACATTATTTTCCTCAGCCTTTTTTTTAAACCTCTATGGAACCATTGTTTGTCATTACCACCGTCAGCATTTTACCTTTAGCCACAGAAACAAAGGAGGCAAACCGAAAGAGTATCTTAGGGGTCTGAGAATGACTTTCTGTACATTAAGAGTCTGGGTGTGTACATACAAATATAGGCATATAAATACGGATAAACTGTACATCTTTGATATGCAATATACTTATACATATGGAAAAAAAACGAAATGGATATTGTCCATAGGAATGTACAAAGGAAAAGATTATTATGGTTTGTGCATCTTCTCTCTCAACTTATTTCATTTAAAAGCAATGCACAGCATTACTGTCACACTGACCAAAGACACAATTCGGACCAATAAATAATGAAAACACATCATGGAACCATAGGTGTGTGGGTTTCTCTTCGCTCTTTGAGCACAGGATTCCCCCTCAGCAGCGCCCGCTTCAGCAGAATGAGCGGGGCACATTCCTCGGAGCAGACACTCGTGTGTAATGTGTGTGTAACACGACACGCAGCAGTCAGGGTTGTTTAAATCATTTGCGCTGACCGTGGAAAGTGCTGTATGTAGTAATGGAAGAGCTCCTCTGAAAAAAAAGGTACCTGGTCTACAGAAAGGGGAACAGTCTCTTCTTAAGGATGTAGAGAATGGTGGCGAGGAAGAGGGCGAGCGCCAGGAAGATGAGCAGCTTGTCTGTGAGCTCTCTGCGGTTGTACTTGGTGATGAGCTTCCTCCCGAGCTGGATGGTCCCCGTCATGGTCCTGAACTCACCGTTGGTCTCTGCCACTGTCCTGGAGGAGGTCGCTTCAAAGATAAGATACCCCATTAGTATAAATGTTTAGTTAAATTAGACATTTTTCATGATTTTGGCTTTGAAAATGCATATGGCATACATTTTTTCTAATGTGTGTTTTTTTAAGTTAAACCTTAGCTCCATAAAAAATGTATTAAAAAAAGGTAAAGCCAAAATACAGACAGGCTTTTAAGGATAACACGTTCCCCATTGAAAACCTCATTTTAGTTCCACTAGCCATTAGAGCACACACTCTACCTTACACTTGCTACCACCAGTACCCCATGGGGCAAATACAAGCTATGTTTCTGGTTTCCACTAGGTTTATTGCTGCTGTATCATGGAGCACTATGCAATATGTGCAATATATATATATATTCCGTGAATAACTGTGCAATATGGCTGCTCATCTTCAGAACTGTTACAGGCTGTGTATTTTTGTATTTTGGAAATTGTGTAATTCTTTTTTTTAAAATATTTTTTAATCTTTAATATTTTGTTTCTACTTCTTGTCAACATTAAGCTGTTATTGGCTCTTTTTCTGCTGGAACAAATGTAAATGTCCACTCTGTGGGACGAATAAAGGTATTCTGATTCTGATTTAATGCCATGCATCCAAATCAATGATGCTGCTTATCATTGACATAAGCAGGCCTGTGGAAAATAAAGTTCCCCTAGCATTTAACAAAAATAAAATAACAAAGGTTTAGAGGAGGTTTGGTTGTTGTAAAAAATAACAGACTGGCATTTAAATGGTTAACATGTTGAAATGTTATGAATATTACTCAAGATAAAGACTCAAATTGCTATAAAGATTCAAGTTCCTTTTAAGTCTTTCAAAAGGATATAGTAACGTTTTTTACCCAAGGGTAATGTATGTATGCAACACAGCGGTGGCAGCTGCTCCCCTTTAAAGCCTTCAAAGTATGATTCAAACAAGTTCAACAAAACAATCACATTTTAAGTAACTGGTAGATCCTTGGTATAAAAATGATAATTGTATTGTGTTTTTCTTCACTAACCCAGCGAGGTCATGGTCTCCTCGCTCTGCTGGACCTGCTGTGCCATCATCCGGCTGATGCTCATGAGATTCTCTGTGATGTCGCTGGTTGTCTGGGCCAAGCCTTCTTTGGTCATCTTCCTAAGAAATAGAATAAAACCATTATTTGAATGTATACTCAAAAAGGACTACAAAGATAAGAATGATTTATTTATTTATTACAAGACTGAGAGAATTGTGTATCTTCTACAAAAATAGACATAAAGCTGATTGCCAGTCGTCTCTTTAAGAACTATTACACACTGTCAGCTCACCTCTCCCTCACAGCACTATCTGCTCCATAAAGAAGCGCCTGCTTCTCCATTTTGTCTATAGACAGTTTGCTGGCCAAGTTGGCTTTCCTCCAACCTGTCTGGTTACTGTGAACATAGTCACAAACACAAAGTTTAATTACCACAAGTGTAATAATTAGACAATATAATAATCACATGACCGTTTTCCACCAGGTTAGCTGCATTATCAACACACAAATGTGACAAGAAACACAGCAGTTCACAATAATACAATCCAGTGAATGTTAGATTAAATATATAGACATTACATTTAGCTGATGCTTTAATCCAAAATGACGCAAATAACCAAGAGGACACAAATTCAGTACAGCATTACCTCAGCATCTGTTTTCTGTGTCCCTCCACCTGACTGATCAAAGCCTGCTTCTCCGACTCTTTGTCCTGCTCCATGGCCATCTGCTCAAAATCCTGTCAAAGAAACGAAAAAAGCCCTCTATTATGATACTACCAAGTGCAAGTGGTTGATGTGCAGCTGCAAATAGTTTCTTACCTGAATCCGCAACCTGACATTGTGGAAACTCTTTTTCACGTCTGCGTTCAGTTCTGTCAGCTTACTTTCAGGGCCTTTGCACTCATTGAGGTCCTGGTGAGGTATCAAAACAAGGATGAGAATAACATGCATGGGTTTACTGGTATAAACTCTCATTTGACTGTAAAAGCACTCCAAACACTGCTGGAGAATCAGGGCTGTTTGAGTGGTTTTCTAAAGATGATCTTAGACTGTCTGTTATTAAGAGTTGCATGATGTATCATTCTGTTAGGTGGGAATATGAATACAAAATAAATAAATACAACTTTAGGCCTGCAATTACTATTTTCTTTATCTATTGGTCTGTCAATTATTCCTAAGCGTGAAAATAGTGACACATTAATATTATAATTGTGCATATAGTAAATGACTTCAACAATTAATTATCCAACTATTTGAATGGGTTTCCTTTACACATTTAAAAAAGCAATCAGTGGGAAACAAATTACAAATATAGGTCCTCTCAAATGGGCTCTCTGCTGGAACTGCTACCCGACCACGGATAAGCGGGAGAAGATGGATGGATGAATGGTCCACTCAAATGTGTGAGAGAAAGCTAACCCAAACTCAGTTAAGATTGGTCTTTTTGTAAAGCAGGTGCATCCTACTGTAAATCAGCTTCAACATGAATCATTTATATCTGACAGAATAAGCTAACGTTACCTTTGACAATAGCCAACATAAGTTCTTGATAGTCGCGTTTTCACATTTCATATAATACCATTACATATAAGGAAATATGACGCATTAAAGAGAAAGGTAAAATCATGTGTAATCCACCGGTAGCTGCAGCTTGTCTCGAGCTGTCAGTACACCGGCTGTCTGCAGCTGGAAACACTTCATTTAGCATTCTGCTATAACACGGTTCACTTACATGACAAGCTTCAAAAGCACCGTGTCTTCAAATAGCGCTACGTAATCTTATCAAATAAATACTCGCACCTGGATGAGAGCTTTGATTTCCAGGTCATATTTGAGTATTTCTTGTTCACAAATTCGGACGTGGACATCTGAGGACGCCATGTTGCCAACTGCAACTGCAGTATACGGAAAAACCGGAAGTCTGTTTTGATGGTCGAAGGTCGCCCATTCAAATGAACACAACAGACTTCTACGATATTAAAAAACAGAATGTATACAATACAACGATGGTGTTAAACTATATGTAAAGTATTTTCATTACTGATATATATGGTCTGCAAGGACAACATTCACTGAAATAAACAAAGCCTTAACGTTCTACAGTCATTACAGTAAAATGTATCACGACATGTCAACATAACAAGGATAATCTAAAATGACATTGACAAAAACATGTCAGAAATATCAACACTTTAGGCTAGAAAGTAATAAAGGAGTCAAAACAAAATACAAAGTGACAGAGCAATGGTGTATTTTTTGTTTATTAACAACTATCGTATGGATTACATCCATCACTAATATTATCAGACAAAAGCAATCGAACACACATCAAATACTCCACTTCACTATTTAAAGACAGGTCATTCATATTAACAATAAACACGATATACATAATATATAAACCGGACAACAAGAGAAGGTTGTTTTAATTTAAAGTAAAGCACATTCAGTGAGATCTCTCAGAAGTCCTTTGGGAATATTTTTTACACAAGTGTGGGCATCACTCTGTATATCAAACAGGGGTCTGAGTTTAGAAGGAATTATCTCAGCATGAGGTGAGAAGCAAACGCCCATTGGTATGCAGCAGAATCAGATCCTCCCCTGCTGGCAAAATTAAAAAGAACAGAAAAAAAACAAGCATGGCAATAATATAAATGAGTTATAGGCTACTATATAAGTACAGTATGAGCCGAATAAAAGGTACACGATAAAATGTAGGTTCAATAATTTACTTTTTTCAGAGGAGGAAGTGTACCTGCATGATTCGGGAATATTTTAAGAATAAATTAAGCCCAGTGATAGTTCAGGTACCAGATGACGTCAGTGGACAGAGACGGCCCAAAAAGTGGGTTCAGCTGGGCCAGAATTGCTATCAACCAGCTAATGAGAAAAAAAGGGTATTAAAATCAAATGTGTCAATACAATACAAAACTACTTAAAGACAAATAAAAAAAAACACATTCTTGAAAGCTCAGTTATTGTGTTTCCTATTGTGTTACAAAAGGTAATTCTGAATTCATGCCAATCATTTTCACTACAAAAGATTCAGTTTTAAGGATTATCAAATTGAGGGCTTTCATAAATTAACTTCACCTGTCTCTATGGAGTTGTTTTGCATATTTGACATGTAACATGAGCACACTTCAACTCATTGTGAATATAAATAATATATCACAAGACAGTAATACTATACAAATAAACATCCACTGGTAGAACAGTGGCACTCTGATCTATTATTTATAATGTATATGTTTAAAAGCCACAAAATAGTGACGTGAACAAATAATGAAACTGCTTATTACACATAGAGGCACAGGAAAATACTTCAACAGTGCATACTCCATAGTAATTCAATAAGACATCAGACAACAAAAGGTGCATATTGTTACATTTAAGGAGTATGAGGAATATATTGAATACATTATTTTAATCCAAAAATTACATGAATTATTCAAGTCAACTGATAATAACAATATTTTTGCTTTATACGTGATTATTACTGACCGTTGACTTTTGTATTCAATTTGTGCTATTGGTTCATGAATGCATGACATGGTCTTAACATAGACCGGTTTTAAACCACACAAAACAACATTTTAATTTATTTGTACATTTCTTTAATGATGATAATACTTACAACAGGTAGCAGCAAACAGCAGTTAACACCAGCATTGTGACTATCACTCTGTGGAAATTTGAGAAAATATGTAAGAGGTTAGCATCTAATACTGCATTAAAGTTTTAAAAAACATCACATACTTTTAACATAGCGTGATCTCGTGATGCGAGTGACAAACAGGCAAATAGAGGAAGTTCAATCAGGCATATTTTCCAGAGATGAAGTACATTACCCTTGAGTTCGGTCTTTAAATATATAAAAATACACAATTTAAATGTATTCCAGCGATATGTCAATAACACCAATATTTAAAAAAAAGTGGAAAGTACGGACTAACACAGGAAGAGAGGCTGTAGCTTAAGTTAGCTAACACTAACTTTTACTTTGGCAAACAAAGTTTCCCCACAGGGTTTACATGTTTTAGTTGTTCAAGTAACTTTGAGAAACTTTTTTAAAGTGTCGCTACATACAGTGTACTTGTTACAAATGAGAGTCACGGGATAACATAAAGTAACACTTCCCTTAGCTAGCTCTGTGTAGCCAGTAGGAAGCTAAAGGTAAGCTAACAAACTCACCCTCTGTTTGGTCCTTTGGGGATGAACCACGGCACTACTCCTCCGATAATGCCCCAAAACAGAGTCATCACGGACATCGCGATCACAAAACCCATTTCTGCCATGGCGGGGTTTCTTGAAAACCAAGGATATCTCAGTTGTACAAACTTTGACAACTTCAGTGCTGTGCAGCTGGCAGACAGGATCCACAGGCAGCACGTATCACATGACCACCAACAAGAGGGAGGGAACAGTCTACCATTTAGTGTATGAAACATTAATGTGTACACAATTCATCTGCAAACCTCCTGAGAAGATGAGGCAATGACCACTTTGGCATAGAAGACATTAGACAAAGTATGTTAATGTTGGAATATGTCATTTTGATTAACAAATCTATGTTAACTGAATGTACAAATATCAAAACTGATTTCTGTCAAGTGTTATCTAGAGACTGATTAGCAATTCATATTATATAAATGATAGTTAACTGGCCCTTGATTATTTGTATTTAATGTGTGCTATTGGTATGACATGTTTTAAAAATAAAGAGCATGACGACTGACCAGAGAAGTACGTGAGTCTTCGCCTTGTATGAAACAATGAGTACAAATATATATCTTTACATCTGGAGAAACGATGACCAATTTGGCATTTTTCTCATTTCAGTTTAGAGATTGGTAAATTAACTTGTAAAATCATGACAGGTTTTTTTTTTTTAAACTGTTCAATTCATCTTTGGGAAAAGAGAAAATGTTCTGCATTTATTGCTACCCTTCCCCTTGGCAATAAATGTGTGTGGTGGTTGGGTTAAATAAATACTTTTCAGGTTACTCATGTAATGTTCATTTTAGAGTCTGACCCTAAACATTGAGAAATCTAACCTCCACAAGACAATTTATGAAACTTCCAGTAACATTCCACTCATAATTTGCATTATTGCCAGGTTCTAAAAGACTTCATCCAATTTCAAATGAGTAGACGTCTTTATATCCGTCAAGGATAAGAAATCAAAAATAAGACAGAGACCATAAATATCTGTATTTTATTGTATGTGCATTACTCAAAAGAAAAACATTTATCTGTATTCAAAACGAGTCCCCCAATAGCAAACACCTACACACACTTTAAACTGATCCTGCAGAGGAATGTGTTGGTTGTCAGCACTAATTCTTAATGACATTGGATTCCTAGATGCTGAAAGACTCACTTTGAGTAGTGGATACAAAATGAATACTCAAGAGTTTGGTGTGATCTGTACAGACCACAATTACCAAATTATCTTCTGAAAAGTGATGCACAACAATTGTGTACCTCAAATAAGGCAGGTCATATTTGCCCAAGATTCCCTAATGTAGACAATACATAATGCCTTGCAAAGACAAAAACAACTCACCTACATAATCAAACACACGACAGACAAAATATGGTCCATTTATACATTTTTTTATTGAAAGCAAAAAGTATTTTTTACTCCTGCATTTTCTCAATGGTCTCCTCCTTGTATTTGCCCTTCTCCTTTCCATCGGCGCGAGACTTGGCCTTGCGCTCCAGGATCTTCTTGCGGTCCTTGTCCAGCTTTAGCCTGGTGATGACCACCTGTGAAGGACAAATAAAAACGGGTTGGTAAACAATCATGGAATAAGCGAGTGATACCAATCATAGGAGAGCATGTCTGAAAATAATCTGGTGTCACAACTACTTACGGAATTAAAGTATGTCCAAAACCGGTTTAATAAAAATACTATTTACAAGTGTGCATATAAGTTCAGTTCCACAACAGACACATGGATAGAACATGACCGGCACCACATTTCTTATAAAGCCAAACATGATGTGCATCAAATAGCATGTCTGTATTTATAAGTCACAGTACATAGTGCTTAACGTAAAGGCCCACTGTGAAGCTCTCTTACACCCTGATACATTGTTCTCTATTGTAAGAGAGCACAAGATAACAGTTTAAGTGTAATGAGTGCATTTAACCTCTTTTGAATTCAAGCACTCTGTAAGTTTTGCGTGCTGGTTAAACAGTATGGCTTGGCTTACTAGATGACTTATATTTGAACTGAAGTCCTCCGTTGTCATTCCTTGAATTTGTCCTTTTTTCTGCTATAGACATGTCAACATGCTACACTAGATGTATTGGAACTGCAGCTTGCTTTGGCCAGCTCACATGTACCTGTGAGAGCACAACAAATTGCTGTGTAGAGTTTATCCATCACATCTATATGGCCAACACAGCATTGTGCCAGTATGGGGATGAACTAATACATAATAAAACAATCGAAAAGGCAACTGCAGCCCAGTAAAAAAGAAAAGGACAAATGAGCAATGGCAGGTCTGCTGCCTGTTTAAGGGTCTGTCTAAGCCATAGCTGTTTGACAGTGAGCCAACATGTAAAATACCAGGACGCTAAAACTGCTGTGATAATTGCATTTGAATAAATGAGCAAAACTATTCAGAAAAGCCTTAAAATCTAAGGATACAGACATACAACATTACTATTGCTTTAATGTACCATACAGCGGCAGTATCATCTTTGTAGCACTACATTTATTTAAAAATACAATGCAAGATGTTGTGCAACTTGTCAGTCACTGAAACTACAGTGAATTTGAATGTTGGTAGAATAGTGTTTGTTTCATATTGCCTACTTTCCAACACGGTCAAATGTCATTGTCATCTTGTTAACTAGATGTATGAAACTGAAAATCTAAATATTAGGAACAATATTCTTTCCAGTTACAATAAAATAAATGTAACTTTGAAGTAGAGCCCTCTATTATGTATTTTCTTTCAAGCTTAACTTTGAACTTTAAAGCCCTGAAATAAGTGATAAATGTAAAAAGTGGTTGATAAACAGAAAGAATAAAATGTCATCCAATCGAGCCACACCACTTCCTACATTGTCAATGATTACAGAATTTAATCGGCTCAACGTTTCTTTGACAGTTTTAAGCCGGTTTACCTTTTTTGAGTAAAACAATCAAATCAACTGTTGTCCAGCCCTTTCATTCTAACAGAACACAACAGTGTGTCATCAAACACAGTCAAGTGCTTCTCTGTAGATCTACCTCTTTTTTAGAGTGCTTGCAAGGATACTCGTACAATTACTGATAAAAGGGACATTTGTCTTGTACTTCGGGAACACAACAAAAGTTTTTCCTCAACAAGGAAATGTTCTTGAACATAGTTTGTGTGGCACTTACATTTCACATTAAAAAAGGGGGAAGGAACACAAATTCAGTGTCAACACCCACAATGAACAGTTTTAGTCTCACTAACTACAGGTGTAGGTTAAAACTTTGAACAATGCCAATTACACTTTATTTGTTGCCACTGAAGGCAGCAAACCAATTTGAGGATATAGTGGACTTTCTCACCTTGCTCGGGTGGATACCGACATGGACTGTGGTTCCGTTGGCCTTCTCTCTCTGCACACGCTCGATGTAGATTACATACTTTTTCCTGTAGACCTGCACTACTTTGCCAATCTGCTGGCCTTTGTAGTGTCCACGGACAACCTGTAAACATAACAACTATGTCAAGCAAAAGCCTTACACTTTCTATGGCATTGATGAAAACATTAAGCAATTGTAACTACAATACCTGGACTTCGTCATCTTTGCGGATGGGCATGGACCTCACGTTGTACTTCTGGCGGAGCTCCTTGGACAGTGGGGAAGACATAATCTTCCTCCTGATGTGTGAGGGGGCATTGAAATGCCTCTTGCGGTTCTTGCGGCGGGAGGAGGTTACAAATGGATTGAGCTTCATGATGCTGCTAGCAAACGAGACATGAAAAAGGTTATTATCCAGTTTAAAATGTCTCAACTGATGAAAGCATGACTCCTGTAAGCATGCACTGATATAATTGCTTGTTTCCAACTCGAGTACTACGAGAAGCTATTTTCTTTACACAACATCAACCATTTAACAATACAATTAACGTTACAAAAAAGGTTAGCAAAAACACGTAATACCTTTACGGTTTTAAAACAGCTAGATAGCAGGCTAGGCTACAATATGCCTTCAGAGCCGTATGCTAAGCTATAAAGCTACTAGGTTAGCATAACATTAAACAGAGTAGAGCAAGCGTATTTCTGTGCCAACAGTAACAAAGTTATATTACCGAGTGTTTTACAGACTAAATGAAAAGCGGTTAACTGTAAAGGAAGCGGAATATTCATCGCAAGTACCAGAAATCAACCACCTTCACTAGCTGTAGCCGACATGCGGATACTGAGGGACCTAGCAGGGACACCAAAACCTGAGAGGTTTTTTACTAACAATAAATATCAATCTGGGTTCAATATTGGCATTATTTTGATTTGGATAATGTTAAAATGGTGTTTAGACGTTTATAGGGACACACAACGAGAATAAAGGCAGGATGGATAGTGATTACTATTGAAAGTATCTGCAAGGAAATCTTACCCTGCCGTTTGCTCCTCTATGGCCGGCGGAAAAGAGACTCGCACAGTACTTCCGCTGGCATTAGTTCACACTCAAGTCTCGCGAGAGTTCATAGATATGGGGGAAAAACATGTGAAAAACTGCCAGTTATCAAATTATAAATCAACAGAACATTATAATATTATTATTATAACTGTTATGTGTAGTTCTTACAGCTGTATTTTAATAATCCTGCATTATTGGACAATAAACGAGCTACTGTTTATTAATATTATTTTGCCAAAATAAATTCTAAATCCCCTTTACTGGTTTTATTACTGGTTTTATATTATATGTTCATCATTATACTGTAACCATAGACTGTATAAAGACTGTAACACGACTGTAACTCTCATTTACTGTGAATATTAAATAGTGCCACATGATGGCGCCAAACCCAATTGCACAATAACCTGGTCAGCAGTTGGAAGTTTTGCACATGATTCATCAAGTTTGAGCCAATGGTCATTATCACACACTGTGCTGTTTTAATCCCCCACTACTTAAAATCAACCCTGATACTGGGATACAACACAAATATAACGTCTATCATAGTGACACCATAAATGTTTGGGGGCTTAGATTTAACTTAGTAGCCTCCGTGAATCATATGGTAACATCGTGGGAACAACATGACCATCCGGACCATCCCTGTACTTACTTGTGTTCCTCCAATAAGGTGACTAACACGAGGGGGTGGGGATGTTTACACCGGCAGACCACACATAGGCTACATTGACCTCCCATCTGTGAGGACAGACACGACCCCCT